AACCCGCCAGTTACCGGATAGCCTCGGGCGACGGATATATGTGGGGCATATGGTCAAGGAGGTACCACGATAGGTACTAATGTACTTTGTATAGCGCACAAGCCACAAAACCCCACGGTCCCACTCCAATGGATTGGAAGAGGATTGGCGCGTCTTTCTGTAAATTAAAACGCGTCTTAACACGCGTTTTCAATTTATACCAGCTCAAGCCTTCCCCTTCTTGGCATTAATGACGACTATTCAAGATTGAACCACCGTGAGAATTTAGGTGCAAGGAAACAATTCCTCACCGCTGATATGGAGTCTTCAGATGGTACTACTACCGATGTAGTACATCCTGAAGTTCGGGCGCATGTCAACAGTCTTGTCTCAGCTGTTAGTAGTTTTCGTTACGTCCCTTTTGCTAGTAAAAAGACTGATCGCGATATGTAGCTTGGTGGTTTCAGCGCCGACGACGATGGACGATACGTGCTTGGAGACTCCGCCCTGGAGGTTTTACGTGATATCAAGAAATGGATTCGATTCTACGATGAGAAAACGAACCGAATGGATGTTGCGCGATGTCTATCCGAGGCGAATATAATTGAAGGCGACTTGCTACATATTATCGCGGCTTGGTCCGAAAACGAGACCGACAACAGATTCAGGGCGAGAGCTGCTTTGGCATGCTTCGAGATTATGGTTCCGTTGACATGGCCACTAGAACGAGATCTCGACCAGATGACCATCAACCACCATCGACATCTCCCGGTGCTACAGATTGCCCAGGTCGGCTACAAGCGTGCTATAATAAACTTTGATGCTGCCCAGATTCTTCACACCGCTGTACGAGTCGCATTGCCTTCTATGGCTCTGTCCCGTGGCGATCGATCTGGACGTGACGAAGGCATCATCAAGCTAATCTTACTATTCCTACGGAACGTTGCCATGATCTCGCCACCCCCTGGAATCAAATACGACGGTGACGAATCTCAGATCTCGCGATCAGCTCTAATTGATGCGTTTTCTTATCAAGATATTTTACTTACTCTCCTTACGATTGCTTCCAACACGGGGGAAGATTTTAACCAGGAAGGCATTATTGTGATGGAGATTATATTCCATCTAGTCAAGCGTGTTGACGTTTCTAAGCTATTCATGGACGAGAAGCAGCTTAGCAAGACACAGTCGAACGAACTCACAACAATGATGAATAAAGAAGCAGCAATGCACCGGCCTTACAATCGAAAGGCTCCATCTAGGCATAATCGATGGGGGACTATGGTCTGGGTGGATCGGGGTGATGGCAAGGTTTCAACTGTCAGTGGCCAGGATGCTTTACTGGATGCGGCGAGGAGACAGCATAAGATGGACAATAGCAAGGTATATCGACCTCCGCGGAGACCAAGAAAAGAGGAAATGGAGCCAAAGGATCTGGGCCCTCCCGTATCACTAAACGCTAGAGCGCGACAGCAGCTCAAAGGTTTCGTGGAGGAATTCCTAGATTCTGGCTTCAATCCTCTCTTCCAGCACGTCCGAAAGAAGCTTGACGAGCAAAAGGACTATATCTTCGAATATCACTCGCGCCAATTCTTCTACCTAGTATCCTGGTTTCTGGAAGCCGAAAGAGTACGGAAGAAGGCCGCGAAGGATCGTAAGTCGGCTAGCGCTGAAGACGTCGGTTCTTTCAACCTTGTTGCTGGGGTGCTCAATCAACAGACGTTTATTACATTGAATAGAGCCATTGGAGATTCGTTAGAAAGCAAGCGTTGGCAAGAGTTGTGCGCTGCTATGCGATGCTTTACTCAGATACTTTTGACAGTTCAAGAGATGTCGGAGTCAGGAAATGAGGAAGACGAAGAGATTGCGGAGAATATTCTTAGCCGCATTTTCTACGAAGAGGAGACGCACGATAGAATTGCGAATATTGCAAGGAACTATAAGGACCAGGGTTTCGAGTATCTTGATGCCTGCACCGATCTTACACATACCTACCTTCGCGTTCTGGAAGCGTATTCGAAACAGAACGTGGATATGCAAGTACGGTCAAGACGGCGTGTTCGAAAAAAGAAGAAGGCCGTGAAAGCCACCGGAGAAGACGAAGAGAACCCTGTAGAAGAGGAAGACGATTCTGAGAACGACCAGGCGAATGCGGAGCGAACATCAAGCGAACGAAAGTTCGACTTCGGTCGCTTTGTGAATCGGTTTACCCCTCAAGGAGTGGTGGATACGTTCGTCCAATTCACGAAATACTACCAGGACCTAAATGATTCTCAGCTGAAGCGGGCACATCGGTATTTTTACCGCATAGCCTTTAAGCAGAATATGAGCGTCATGCTCTTTCGAATTGACATTATACAGTTATTCTACAGTATGATTAAGGGCCAGGAACCCCTTGATAAGAGCTCGACGGTGTACAAGGAATGGGAGGAGCTGGCGAAGCAGATTCTCAAGAAGTGCATTCGCAAAATCGAGGAGCGGCCGCAACTGATCATCGAAATGCTGTTCTCTAAAATAAATGCTACAGCACACTACCTGGAGTATGGTTACGAGAAACAGACCCTATCCACGTCGCAATCCAGGCCGGGGGCCGAGTTGGAGTTCCGACATATCGAGGAGCGGGATCAGCAAATTGCGATTGCTGTCGGTGTTTTGCTGGATAAAAACCTGGCTGATCATATCAACTGGGTTAAGGGCCAGCTATCCACAGCCGAAACTGAGAAGAGGGCCTGGGAAGCAGCTGACAAAGCAATGCCATCAGTAGAAGGAGCCGGTAATGAAGGCGAGCAGCAGAATGAAGAGAATACTCCTAAAGAATCTCCTCCTATTTGTAGGTTTCCCCAGTCAGGTTCTAATGAGTTGCGACTAATAGGTATTTAGCTATACGCCCGGATAATGATGCTCGTCGCACTGCCATGTTTAAGAATTCTCATCTCCGACTTCTCATGAAGCTCGTTGGTTTTGAACGACTCGTCCCAAGCGTGGACGAGACTCCTGAATCTGCTTGGGTTATCCCGCCGCACGTGACGGCCGACCAACTACAGGATTCCCTCGACCTGATCAAGAAGGCCGAGTTCAACCCGCCAACATTCGACGACGGCAAGCTAGCTGAAGATCAGCTAAGGAGGAAGGCGGCAGTACGGAGGAAGGCAGTCTTCGACGACGACGATGACGGTATCGCTGACGATGACGACGACGAGATTCTCTTCCCCGCAGGCGGCCCAACGGCAAGAAAGGTAGCAGACGAGTTTCTAGATAAGCCGAAGAAGACCCGACGGCGGCGACGGCGCGGCAGCGATGCAGAAGAGCCTAGCGAGGACCAACTAGAGGAGAAAGCGCGGGCGCGTAAGGAACGTGAAAAAGCCAAGGCGCGGCGGTTCAAGAGCGACCTGTACGTGCACGCGAGCGACGACGAGTCGGACGACGGAGAGCGGTGGGCCGAATTTTACGCCAACGAAGAGCGCATTCGGAAGCGGCAAAATGCCACGGCGGCGAAAAACGCGGTCGCAGTTACGACATCCGCCGCCCCGAAACAGGTCGAGAAGCGCAAGGTGCAGGAGCTACTGGGGGACAACAGCGATAATGATGATGATCTCATCTTGCCGCATGGGTCAGAGGATGAAGATGAAAATGAAGATGAGGGTGAGGAGAGAAAGAATGGCGCGTCAGGGACGGATGATACGCCGTTGTCGTCGAGTCCACGTGCGGGCTCGGTATCGAGCGCGAAGAGAAGGCGGTTGTCGAGGGAACCTCCTAGTTCGGCACCAGCCGCTACTGATGAAGATGTCGAGATGGCAGATGGGGATGGGGATGGGGATGGGGATGCGGATGCGGATGACGATGACGTGCCTGCTACGAAAGCGCCTGCGAGACGGCGGGCTAGGGCGGGATTTATTGTTGACAGCAGTGATGAAGAAGAGTAATGATTAGGATGGGAAAGATTGCATAGTCGGTGTTTGGGTGTGGTTTAGCATAGGTCGGGACGCGTTTATGGATGATGCACAAACAAGCAAGTTTAATGAATGAAGCCTGAATATTCACAACGGCTATTAAAGATTTTTATTGAGCAGGATATACTATTTTATAATTGTGTTATTAAACGAATGACTAGAACTATTCTGGGATATCCCGCTGGTCACATCTTCTAAATCCAACTGCAATACGTAAGAGCTTTAACTATTTACAAGAATAGGTAGCTTTAAAAGTTGACATTAAGGATCGATGGTTTCAAACAGCATTCTTCCAATTCCATCGTGATGATCCGTATGTTCTTTACTTTAATTCTTCTTCTATTTCAACATAGGTTAGTGTATACAGATACATAGGTACCTAGGTAGGTAGCTAATAATAAAGGCAGCAGATAGGTAGGAGGTTTAACTAACGGGGCAGTTTGCGCATTCGCAGTTGTGCTCGCAATTGCAGGTGCCAGAGGTGGCGCAGGCGCAGGCGCAGGAGCCGGGGTTGTTGCAATTGCAAGCCATTGTATTGTGTCTTGTTATTAGACTGTGTTAAGACAGATAGGTAAAGTGGTTATAGTTATAGTTATAATAATGCAGTTGTAATCTTAAACGACTATGTTGCAATAGGCGCTATTCAATTGCTGATTGGTTGGAATGTAAGTCGAGATGGGGGAAAGTTGGTCATCGTGGTTGGAGGAAAGGGGGGGGGTTATTTATATACCTTGGATGGATGTGTTATGTAATAACTAGGTAGTTGCTTTACTTTAGGTACCTACTTAATGGAACAACTGTGGGATGGTAATGTGAGTTGGTTCTTTGTTCAGAGTGAGAGACTAATCGATATCTCTGACGACACGATGCGGTATGGGCCCCCGTTATCGTACGCTGGTGGTGTCAACGATACGTCAGCGGCCCCAGCTGAGGTGTGCTGGAGAGGGCGGGAGCTGGGCTTTGACCTGTTTTGGTTTAAGGAATAGACTAGTGTTAGCCACTTATATAAGAGGGGTGCTGGTACTGGCTCTCATCAGGTGGCCATTCGATACTGTTGATTATTCGTTGAGAGTTTTGGTCACAAGAGGATTAAGTTAGATAGGTATGGTAGAGCTAGTTCTTAGTGGTGCGGCTTAAGCTTGGTGGCTTAAGACATATGTAACTTATTACACATAACTAACATATGTAAAAGACATTCAAAAAGTTGGTCGTGTTCAAAACATTGGCTATGCTATAATACTCTCTAGCCATACACGTCCCAGACGAGATTCATAGGTTCATATAGCCTTGCTCGTCAGTACAACTACCTGCAAGCCGGGAACCAACCGGCTCTCCTCCTTCCCATCATCTCAGTCCAATAATGATGACTTAGTAATAGGTAGTAGTAGTAGTAGTAGTAGTAAAAGTGTCATACAAGAAAGTATAGGTAATTAGACATCTCCGGAAAGCTAGCCATCCGTGTTTCAAGCTCGAGTTTAAGCAGTTACGCTTAAGCCTTGTTTCGCTGGCCGTAGGCCTTGGTGACGTAATCGCCGTCCTTGACGATGAGGTCCTCGAGGCGGTAGTCGTGACGGCCGGAAAGGTAGCTGTCGAGGATGGCCTTGGTGCCGGCGGCGTAGCGCTTCTGCGCGTCGATCGACGTACCGGACATGTGAGGCACCATGGCGTTGCCGCCGCCGAAGGGGTTCTTGGCGTATCGCAGAATGTGGTCCTTGGGCGCCGGCTGAGGGAACCACACGTCACCACCGTAGCCTCGTAGGTGACCCGACTTGAGCGCCTCGGCTACGTCTTCCTTCACGACGATGGCGCCGCGAGCAGTGTTGACCAACCATGAGCCTTGTGAATATTAGTTAGTGTCGTGAGAGCGTCGAATAGGGAGGTATATGTGTACTCACCAGGCTTCATCTTGGCGATGAGGTCCTTGTTGAACAGGCCGCGGGTCTTCTCGTGCAGAGGGCAGTTGATGGTGACGACATCGCACTGGCCAAGCATCTCCTCGAGGCTGTCGACGCGGCGGCAGCCGATCTCCTTCTCGATCTCGGGCTTCAGGGGCTGGTAGTCGTAGTACAGGAGCTCCTTGCAGTCGAAGGCCTTGAGACGACGTAGGACACGCTCGCCGATGCGGCCGACGGCGACTGTGCCGACGACCTTGTTCTCGAGGTCGTACTCGTTCTTGGCGACGGCGGCGACTTCCCACTCGCCGGCCTCGATCATCTCGTGCGCCGGCACGAAGTTGCGGACTAGGACTAGGATCGTCATCACCACGTGCTCTGCTACGGACACGACGTTAGAGCCTGTCACTTCGGCCACCGTGATACCGCCGTTCGTCTTGTTCGCCGCGTTAAGGTCCACATGGTCGGAACCAATACCGGCAGTGATGGCGAGCTTCAGCTTCTTAGCCTTGGCTAATCGCTCGGCTGTTAGGTAACCTGGGTGGAAGCTATTGTGTGTTAGTTTAGTTTTGGTTTGTGGTATCCCCTAGTTAATCGTATAGCAATAGTATCATGCTCTTCTCCCCAATCAAGTATATTGCTATTACGATATTGAAACTATAAGGAGACAGTTGAGGCCACATACGGAGTAGTAATGATAACCTCAGCGTCTACGAGCTCCTTGTCGAAGGTGGAGTTCTCGCCATCCTTGTCTGATGTGGTAACGAGTGTGTGACCCTGATCTTCGAGCCATTTTCGGAGACCAAGTTCGTTCTCGGTCGTTCCCAGTAGCTCGGGCACCTATAATTGGGTGGAAGAAAGATAGGTTAGTTCATGATGTAAAAGTGGAGGGAGGCAAATAAATCGTGATGGGACTTTTAGAACTTTGGGGTTTGTAAGAGAAGTGAGAAGTCGCTTGTTTCAATTACCCCTCATCCCCCTGCCCCCTTTTTCCCCCTCCTTCTCTTTCAACCTTTACATCTGCCGCTACCTCCAGTTACCAAAGACAGACTATTGCATGTACGTTTCAGCCAATAACGTGTCAAACCGCCGTCATTGGACGGACAAGTTTGCGCATGGCGGGAAACGGCATTGCGAGGATACGGCAAAAGAGGTATAAGAGGGCGAGTTTTGGAATTGGAGTAAAAGGTAAGAAGAAGAAAAGTACAAACGGCATGATGGAATTGGGCAATGGGTATGTTGTCTTTTTTTCTTCTTTTTTTTATTACTTACCTCTTGGGCATGCTTGCCTCCATCGTATAGGACTAGTAGAACTTTGACCTTTTCACGTTGCGTAGTTAGTAAACGCGTCGAAGCACGAACTCGTAACGATGGGGGATTGAATAGGGTCGAAGGTGAACTCTTATACGCCAGGGCCGCGCGTGACGTCAGATCAGCGCGCAGCGGCGTATAAGACCGAGCATTGCGAACAGAACAAGCTGCTGCTGTGGTCGTAGAGAGTGCCCTATAAATGGGACGAATGCAGCAGGAGGAAAGAGGGCGAGCTGATAATACCATTTTGAATGTCTTTTGAAGCTTTATCTAGTTAATAAGACTAATAGCTGCTGATGTGAGTTTGTTGGACGAGTCGGGAAGTTGGACGTGTAGAGCTTATTGATGAATCGATTTACTAGTCCTGTTTGAACTTCTCTAAAAAAAGAAACTCGATGACGGAGATATGAAGGTAGAATGATTAAAGAGAAGTACAGAAAGAATTGTCTATGGGTGAGGGAGACTGGGGACCATTTATGGGTTGGAGCTCACCTCGCGCAACAAAGAGCAATGGTCAAAGAGGGACCGCAACGGCAACTTTCGTCCGTAGCGATTCAAACATACCACAGCTCGGGAAGCGGAGAGGTGGACACTGTCGGGTAATGTTCTAGCTGCTCATCTCAAGCACAGAGCTAGCCAGAGGTAGAGATAATCCCCGTGGTTTGATAGTTCTGCAGAGCGCGGTCACGTAGTAGTCTCCAATGTGGCCACTATGTATGCATAACGACTAGGAACTGGTAGTCCTTGTACACAGTGAGCCAAGTGGAGGTAGCGACATTGAGGTACAGATGAGGCATTCCGAGGCTGCAGATAGGGGGTTCATTGTCTTACAGCTTCCAAACGCACGTTGGGAGTATCTCTTTGAGCCTGTCCAACCCGCGTGGGTGGGTGTATATCCCGAATATCGATCACAAAGGGACTCGGCTGCCCGCCGGGAAGCTTCGGCGATGTTTCGGTGTCTGAGGCAAGGGTCCCGCACCTCTGATGCCCCTCGCCCTTGGGGATGGACTGACTAGTGGACGCCCATCATTATTAGTTTGTCGTCAGTTCTGGTAAATGCCTAGGCCTAGGGAGTAGTTATGCTAGCTTATGAAAACGGCCATGTCCGTCAAGACTGATATGGCCACCTCCCTAGGTATTACATAAGGTAGGTAGGTGAAGATATTTTGAAGCTTGTTTAGAGCAAAGAGCTTTGTATTCGGCCCTCGGTGAAGTGGGGTCACATTTGGAACTACAAACACAAACATACCTCACATATCTTGTACATAAATTTGCGGGGAAGCTTGCCAAAGAGTTGGGGCTAGTCTTTTGGGAATACGACAAATAAGGCGGCCAAGAGGATGGTTGAGGAGGGGATACACATGCAGCGTTTCTGGATCTGGGAACAATGTAGCGTCCAGATCAGTGATTGATTGGTCCAGTCGTCCTAACTACCTAGGTAAGTAAGAGAACGAAATATGTTTTCAAAAGCTTCGCGGCAGTTCTGGTCTCATCGAAGATCATCGGTACAGTGTAAGTGATATCGGGCGAAAAGCGTATATTAAATGGATAACCCACGATCGCAGGATTCGGCATAACACAACTTTATTTCCCCGGGCGTAGTTATTTACCCGCAATAATACCTAGAGCTTACTGTTACATGAAGCTTCCACTTAGCGGGTCAAGTACGTGCGCCTCTTTGGAACTTTCGGCATCTCTCCGAGTAGGCTGCTCGCGCGGTTTAGATGGGATAATCTGGCTGCTTGCGTTTCCGAAACGCCGAGCCTACTATGCCCAAGTCATTACTGCTATGATTTCCGCGGATCTATGAGCAGGGATATCGGCAAACGTGAACGGCGTGCAACTTTGAAAGTTGTATGTATGTCTCTCTTTAGGTTGCTGATATTTTCTATACCGCCTTTCCTCCAGTCTGCATTTAATCTACAAAGTAATAAACACAGCGCCAGCCATTACGATCCCTAACAACATTCCCCTTGCTTTGTGCGCCGTGGCTGCACTAGGAACGAACGGTGTCTGGGTTGGTTTTATAACAGATCCAGTTCCTGTACTGCCAGCACTTCCATTGCCAGTCGTAGAGTTCTTTGAAGCTGAGGTCGTTACCGGACCAGGGTTCGTAACGTTGAAGAAATTGCCGGCTAAAATTTTATCCGCGAGTCCAGCTTGTGTTAAGACAGACAAAGCATCGAAACCTAACCGGGTTGCAGCTGCATTCTTGAGGATATTCAAGTTGGCTTCTGTGGCGCTCGATGTGTCTACCAGGATTTGGGTATATCGATGAGACAGCGGAATCCTCGCGGGAGGTGCCGGCCCGAGATATTCTGCAAAGGCTCCCTGTCCTAAAGAATCCTTGAATACGAAGGCGTCCGTACTTCCCGTTGAAGTATTTATCGGCGTCGCCGCCGTACTCTGTGTGAGACCGGTTTGCATCCAATGCAGTAGAGTGTTCGTATTCGGCGGGCTATCCGTCGGGATATCGAGGTCAATCATCAATACCGCGAACGACGTCCCATCAACCTTAGACTGTGTTCCTATGGTTGGAGCCGTTTGAGTTGCTATAATTCTTATTAGCAAACCTGAGCTATAGTAAGAATCCTAGGTCAAAGACTCACCCGCTTGTTGCAGGACATTTCCATCTGCTGCGGCGACATCGCCAAAGGAAACTAGCAGAGCAGACGTCGTCCCAGGCTCAAAGCCTTTGGGAGTGGAAGCTAGAGTTGCGGATGCACCCGCTAGTATGAGAAGGGATTTGCACAGCATCTTGAGATGAGATGAGATGAAATTATGACAGCATAGATTGACCAGCAATACGAATGAGTTCAATAAAAATCATGAACCGAAGCTGATCAAACAGAAAAATCACTAGGAACGAGGCATGGTGGAGATATTTGAATGACTTACAGCATGGAGCCCACGTCATGGACTTACTGTAAAACCGTGGAGGCCATGTTAAAGCCGTGAAAATCTCCGTAACACGCGTCTCGTCGGATGAAACGAGAGTGCGCGGACCTGCGACAGCGCCCAGAACCCAGCATGATCGATAACAAAGGATTGGGGTTGATATTACCAAATATTGCCAATATTTGAATATTTAATATTTGAATATTTCTCAGGGTTCCTAGTTCACTTACTCAGCAGTTCATACGAAAAAGGTCAGTGGAGTTTGTTGTAGTTGCAGTTCGCAAGCAGTATTCGTGATTGTTTAGGTAGTCAGTGAACCTTTCTAGTGGACACTATTCCCAAAATATAGTTGAGCGGTGATCCCTTCCCTTTTTAAGAAAAGTGTAGAAAGGTCTGCCGGGGCCGGGGTGTAGTTCTTAGCGTGTTTCTTAATTAAGAAACTCGTTAATGTTCGATCAACGTCAACACATCTCTCTTACATGATAACCTTATTTGATGTTGATATGATAGCTTTAATATCGTCTTTTTTATATACCTACCTAGTTAGGTTCGGGTTGATATACGGACTACTTATAAATGAAACCACGACATGAAAAGGCCAAAATTGAGGGCGGTTTAGGTTGATCCTAACCTTTCGATGCGATCTGAACCAACCCTCTTAAATCCGGTTGACCCCCTAAATCCGGTTCACCTCTAGAATGGCCATGCTAAGATATCAGAAAATGTCTTGTTTTTATGATTTTAGCTCTTAGATGCACCGCCATCTAGCTCGTTGGATAATCCGATTACTCTCTTACATTCGCGAGGCTGGCCTGTCGTAGGAAGACACAAAGTCGCTTATATCATTGGAAACGACATGTAATAATTTTATCCTGACCCCTGAGAGTACGTCCATTAGAACGATTGACTTTCAGTGGAGCTATTATCTCCTGTCTTAAATAATCTGCCTTGCCTGCTAAAAAGCTGCAGTTGACAGCAAAGGATCAGTAAGGTCAACGGCGTTTACGGTCAAAATCGACCGTATGATTGGCTACGGGTCGGGCGTTGGGCGGACTCGGCGAACCAACCGAGGAGGCCTCGGACCTCACAACAGTCGGCATTAGGCCTCACGATATCCACTTGAATGGACCTTTAAGCGAATCGACTAGGAGATACTCCAATGTAGGTGCTTGAAGCCTCATCGCGATGCTGCGTATTCCCTTATTAGCTTCCGAAGGCTGAAGTACAACATGATCGGCGGTTGACCGTATCTAGGTAGGTAATGGATGTTTCACCCCTGCTGTTTGTATAGTTACACAAGCCCTTTGTTCATCAAGTATTTACTGATTCTTATCGCATGTAGATGATGTATTGCTGCTGTGTTGCTGTATGGAAATGGGCTGTGAGAGGGCGAAGTTGGTGATACAAGAAAGTATGCCTAGGTACCACCTTAGGAGGTACCTAACCTACCTATCACCTAGTCACTGGCGTGGCCGCCTCGCGACCCATGGATGCCTTGTGCCTCCTGTCTAAGCCAGCAGGCTGCCTGCATCACTTTTTTCTCTGTAGTTCTTTTTTTTTGTTACTTCAACTCCTCTCACCTACCTCATTCTAGTTGTTTCGAAGCACAATTTTGTGTCTTAACCACAATAGTGAGGTATCTATTTTTTATTTTTTTTTAGTAAGGCCGCGCACTCCTTCTAAAAAAAAACAAGGCTGCCAACAGCATCTCTTTTACCCTTGCAGCTCTGTTTGTTCTATACAACTATCACCCAACTAACATCATTCCACGCAACGATAATGGACAGGTGAGATTACTTCTTTATTTGCATACAAACCATATCACAGTTCACGGAGTGGTTGTTACGACCTCTATGTTTCTGCTTAGCTGACATGCACATCCAGAAGAACACGGGGGTCAACCCCGGGTCCGTGTCACCATTTCTTCAGGGTTGGAAGATGCAAATTTGGTGCGCAATGCAAGTATTCCCATGAGGCCTCATCTTCGTCTTCGTCAGGTTCACCTGGGACATCAATATGGCAAAACAACAGACATGAAGGACAGGCTCCAGTCCAAGACCGTCTCCGGGAATGGAAGAGACTACTCAACCAACCCCCATCAAACTCACGTTCTACTCATTCATCTGCTCCTACAAATCAGCAGGCGTGCGACCGTTTTTTCACGCTCGCTCTCGAATTGATGGAAGGAGACATTGGAGCTTCCCAAGAGACCGTGAAGCTTATGGCCCAGGATCCTGGCCTCGCATTCATTAAAAACTTTGTCGACCAACAGATTCCCCTGGCCGCTAACAATATCACCAAAGCACAACTATGGAAGAGCCATATACAGCCCCTATTCCAAATCCTCACCCATCCTCGTGTTGTTGATTCCAATGTACTTGAGCAACAAGTTGCTGTCATTTGCAACTTCATTATAGGGATTGGCGGGAGGCGAATGAGTACTCTGTATGACTTCATCCTAGACCTTCTCGGCTCTTGGTCACATTTGCCTATGGCTGAAGATGATCAGTACGGGATTTCTGCATGTGAACTTTCGCTTTCGGTCCTGGCTACCGTGATCGACTGTAACACAAGTAACATCGTTAACGATAACTTCACCAGAATTGTCAAGCGTTTCGGAAGTCCCATCCAAGCTGCCAGCCCTTCTCCAGACGAATTCTCCAAAGCGCAAGCTCGGAAACACTTGCAGTACCTTCAGCGGCGTCTTGGAGTTGGCGATGCACTAGCTGAGGCTAAGACAGCAAAGAAAGCTACGGTGACCCGGGCTGAATTTATTATGCGCAAAGATTTGCCAGGACGACTTTCAGCAGACGGCCCACGGCACGATAATGATCATACTGACATATGCGATATTAGAATTCTGCCCACACGTGAAGAAATTACTTCAATACGTAACGAATACTTGCCAACTACCGACGCTTCTTTATTTCACGTACCCGGAATTCGCGGGCGCCTTGACAGAGAATTCCGCCTACTACGAGAAGATACGGTAGGCCAACTCCGAGATGCAGTCAGCGCACAACTCAAGGCAATGAGGGATCCCAAACACAAGCAGGAGCGTGGTAACGGAAATGCTATTCGTACATACGCGTATCAACAAGCAGAAATCGTTGATGCTAGCTTTGATAGAATCCAGGGCATGGATTTGCTGGTTCAATTTCTACAACCTACGTCTAAGAAGAGTGTCCAGCAGCGGAGGGATTGGTGGGGGAACTCCAAGCGTCTTCAACCTGGGGGCCTTGTCTGTATGCTCTCCGGAAACGACTCCGTCTTGTTCTGTGTGGTTGGCGATAGCACCATCATAGCAAGTGATCAAAAAGGAGTTAGAAAAGCGGAAGAGAAGGAAGAGCCCTCGAGGAAACCATCTCTTGCTGATGAGGATGTATGGGCTTATGCTCACCTGCACCTTGTTGAGGCCCGTCCACATGATATCGGTCAAGCACTTCGATGGTTTCAAAATATCGGCCCCGAACAGCAACGATGCCTTGTAGAGTTCCCTCGTGTTCTCCTTCCCTCATTCCAACATACACTTATAGCTCTTCAGCGAATGTCAAAAAAGTCCGATGTACCTTTTGACGAATTCATTGCTCCAGCTAAGACGGAGCTAGATCTAGAAGTCAAAGATGTCGGCCCTCCTCAGTACACGATGAAGCAAGGTTTCTCCTTCGACCTCAGTTGCCTTACGCATGACAATGCAGCTCTGCGTCATTCGCCCCGAAGGCCACTAGACCCGCGAGAGTTAGCAAGCCATTCATCCCTTGACGCAACTCAGTCTGGCGCTCTTTTAAACACGTTATCGAGAAAGCTAGCTCTGATCCAAGGACCGCCGGGTACTGGAAAAAGTAAGCATCAACCCTTAGTATCCTTCGTGTTGTGAAATGTTTTTTTCTTCTCTTTTTTCTAGGAGGCTATGTGTCCCAATAGCAATTCTATGGGCCGTGGGCGAATGAGAATTACTAACGTGAATAAATATAGGTTTCACTGGCGAAAAGATAATAAAGGTGTTACTTGCAAATAAACGCCAGGCTGACCTCGGACCTATTCTCTGCGTATGTTATACCAACCACGCCCTAGATCAGTTGTTGGTGCACCTGATGCGCGATGAAGTCAAGATTATTAGAATCGGGTCAAGGTCGAAATCAGAGGAGTTAGAGGGCCTCAATCTCCGCGTTGTAGCCAAAACTGCGGATCGTACTAAGGCTGAAAAGGGTTCGATGTGGGAATTGAGGTCAGAACGCGATGAAGATGTTCGTACGATAACAAAGTCGCTCGATGATCTTGCAGCTTGCCAAACTCCAGCTTCGATACGGAACTACCTTTCCATACATCATAAAAGCCATCACGATGCTCTATTTGGGATTGAAGATGAAGAGGGATGGCAACAGCAACAGCGTCGAAAACCTGGCCAACTCCTCGGTCAATGGCGAACTGGTGGCCACCGTGGAAATCACACTCCTCGCGAAATAACTCAATTAATTTACGCGGATGTTTGGACCATGAGCAATGCAGAGAGAACACGTCTCTACAATTATTGGCTGCGAGAAATACGCGATCCGCTGATAACCGACATCATACAGAAGTATAGGAGTTACGGAAATACCACAGATGAGTTAGAAAAGGTGTCTCGTGACGTTGACCTGCGATGTCTGCATGAAGCGGACGTGGTTGGTGTCACAACTACTGGGTTGGCGAGGAATCTTAGCCTCCTTCAAAAGCTAAGATGTAAAGTCATGTTGTGCGAGGAAGCAGGAGAGGTTCTCGAAGCACATACCTTGACTGCCCTCCTCCCCTCTGTCGAACATGCTATTTTGATCGGCGACCACCAACAGCTAAGACCCCAGATAGTAAACTACGAACTCCAAAGCACGAGCGCAAGAGGTGCTCAATACTCCCTCGATGTATCTTTATTCGAGCGCTTAATCCAACCGCCATATGATACAGACCCGAGATTACCATATGACACCCTAGAGACCCAAAGGCGAATGCACCCCAGCGTCTCAGAGCTGATTCGATCAACCCTGTACCCTCGGCTTGAAGATGGTGGCCCGGTAGCTCAATACCCAGAGATATATGGTATGAAAAAACGGTTGTTCTGGATGCATCACGAGTCACCTGAGGATCAAGAAGTTCAGCTTGATCCGATGACAACTTCACATACAAATACCTTTGAAGTCGAAATGACTATAGCACTCGTCCAGCACTTGGTAAGACAAGGATCGTATGGTTCGGATGATATCGCTGTCATCACACCATATCTAGGGCAACTGAACCGACTTCGCCGCGAGATGGCGAGATTATTTGAAATTTCTGTTGGCGAGCGAGATCTAGAAGAGCTAGAAGCTCTCGATGCTGATCAATTAGCAGCCGAGAATATAGCTCCTCTACCCCACAAGCCCGTCACCGTCAAGAAAACCCTCCTGAAAAGTATTCGATTAGCAACTGTCGATAACTTCCAGGGCGAGGAAGCGAAAGTCGTCGTAATTTCTCTCGTGAGGAGCAACGCCGCGAATAAATGTGGATTCTTGAGCACGTCTAATCGTATTAACGTGCTGCTATCTCGAGCTCAACATGGCATGTATCTGATCGGCAATGCAAACACCTACAGGCATGTGCCTATGTGGGCGAAGGTCTTAGACATCCTCGCAGAGAACGAGAACCTAGGAACTCAGTTGGAGTTACATTGTAAGCATTCCCCTTTCTTGAGCCATCTAAATACTAACCGTCAACCTTTTAGGCCCACGTCATCCTAACCCTGATACACCCCTTTTAGTATCAAAGGCTGACGATTTCTTGCGAGTCGCACCTGAAGGGGGATGTATACTCCAGTGCGACCGACGCCTCTCGTGCGGACATTCATGTATTAACAGATGCCACCATGAGAATCTACACAACGCCGTCAAGTGCTTGGAGCCTTGTCCCAGACCTAAGAAGGGATGCCAACATTCTTGCAAGTTGCTTTGCGGCGAACCTTGCAAACCTCGATGTGATGAATATTTACAAAACATCAATATCACTCTTGCCTGTGGCCACAAAATCTTCGCAGCATCCTGTTGGCAAGCGCAGAACCCCTCTACCATCATCTGCAAGCAAATAGTTTCGAAGACTGTGCCTGGTTGTGGACATGCCGTTGATGTGCCTTGTCACACAGATGTTAGCGTCGACACTTACAAGTGTGGAAAGCTATGTCTCGACCCTCAGCCATGTGGTCATAACTGCCAGAGTGCATGCTATCAATGCAAGGAGAGGAAAGAAGGCAACATCGTCAAGACAGTCCACCCTTTCTGCAAGCAAGCCTGCGGCCGTGCATACACAACATGTCGTCATACCTGCCAGAAGTCATGTCACGGCAAAGCCGAGTGTCCGCTCTGTCCAGCATCATGCGAAGTTAGGTGTAGTCATTCTAAATGCAGCAAGAAATGCCACGAACCTTGCGTGCCATGCGCCGAGCAGACTTGCGCATCCAGTTGTCCCCACGCGCGGTGTACTATGCCCTGTGCAGCACCTTGTGACTGGGTGCCTTGCTCGAAGAGGTGCGAAAAGGTCTTGAGTTGTGGACATCAATGTCCATCTGTATGTGGAGAGACGTGCCCCAACGTGAAATTCTGCCAGACTTGCTGCTCTGAAGAGATAAAGTCGGTCATGGTAGATTTTATCATGGGCATGCAATATCATGAAATCGACCTAAACGAGGATCCATGCATCTTCCCTGACTGTGGACATTTCGCTACTAAGACCAACATGGACGGCATCATGGAGATGAAGGCTCATTACAAGATGTCGGCCGAGGATAACCCAACGGCTATCCTCAACACCTCCGAACCATTCTCCATGGATGAGGTAAAAGTTTGTCCGACTTGCCGTGGATCTCTACGCAGTATCTCACGATATGGGCGAATAGTCCGACGAGCCATGCTCGATGAGTCCACTAAGAAGTTTGTTTCTTGGTCCCAGATTGAGTATAGCAAGCTTGCGGAACTTCTACTCGACGTACAGGGGCGCATCTCAGCAGCTCCACCTCCTCCCCGAGTCTTACAGAAGGATACCCGCTCTAAAAAGAAAGTCTTTTCGACTGGCCGTGTGAAACAGATACAACTTATCTGCGACTGGGTAGGGAACACCAGATATGATGAAGCTCTTAAAGTGTGGCAGCGAATCAACAATTTCCTCGGGCAAGTGAGAAGGGAAGAGCAACCTTTCCAGCGTGTCAACGACTTTGTCCTACATGCAGCGCGACAGCGAAAAACTCAGGGGATATTTGACTTCGATGAGACAAGGATCCAGATCAAGGGACACTTACAGGCATGCACGCTTTCCCTAAAATGCGATATTATCGTCGTTGCCGACTTCATGACGCAGCGGGATTCGCTAGCAGAGAGTCGAGGGGAGCTAAATCTGGATTTCTCGCGACAGTTGGATGAGTGCGAGTCCCTGGCAGAGCGTGCCAAAGCCACGGGATACCCCAGGCAAGAAACTGAAGCTCACGTATACTTTGCACAGTTTTGCGCCTTCAGCCGAGCGTTAGTCCCAGCCGAGAAAGCAGAGGACGGGTCTGATACCAACGCTGCAAAGGCTGAGAAGTTCAAGGAAAGGGCTAAGGAACACCTAGCTCTCGCTCGTGAACTAGTGGCGAAGTATAACGACCAGACCAAGGGGATGATGGTAGAGATCGAGGCGACGGAAAAGATGGTACGTGATAGCGTATTCTACGATCCTGTATCTACGGAGGAGATGCGGGCGGTATACCGTGCTATGGCAGCTGAGTTCTCTGGAACTGGCCACTGGTACGTGTGTGCGAACAACCATCCATTTACGGTTGGTGAGTGCGGGATGCCAATGGAACGAGCCAGATGTCCGGAGTGTGGAGCGTCCGTTGGTGGTGCTAACCACACCCCTGATGCGGGAGTGCAACGCGCCAACGATATTGATAACCTGGCTCGCGATCTAGGTGGGCTGGGAATTAATTAAGCCGTAGGTGTTAGCTAAGGTGCCGCCTCTGCGATGCGAGGTTGATATGTAAATGGATAGGGGACGAGGCCATATCTGACCACTACGCCGTACGATCATCACCCGATCCAGTAGTAATTTGTTTTTATTCGGTATTGCTTTGCGCATATCTTAATTAATAAAACGCGTCCTGTTTTCTACGAGAAGTCACTGCTACGTATTGCCCATAAAAGATCAGTCTACATAAGTAAAGCCCACTGGATGAAGTAATCAGATCTTCATAACGACAAAGGAGAATAATCCTATTGAAGACTACATATATAATACTATGGAATATGCTCATGTCCTCCATCTATCCGCCTTTATACGCGAGGCGATCTAGAAGTTTGTACCAGCCGGTTTAGTACGGAAAGAGAGACAAGCAGGACGTTCATCATCTTTCTTTTTTGGAAGTCGTCCAGGCATAACGACCGTCAGTAGTAGGCAAGTCGGCAGGTATGTGTTGTCTAACCGTCTCCCCTCTCTATATACCATTCTTCGGAAGCCTTTGACTCGAGAGGCGACAAGCCACTTGATTTAAGCAGTTTAGTACACCTGCACGGACTCGCCGAGCGTAGTCGCACCGACAACCGGGCTAGGCGCATCCTTAGACGCGGTAGCCTCGACGGACTCGTCCTCCTCGGCCATGCCGCCGAGAATCATGGAGCTCGGGGCTAGGGCCTGGATCTCAGGGGGACTGGTGAAGGCGAAGAACTTCTCGTCGTGCCACTGGCCGGCGGTGATGAGACGGCCCTCGCTGTCGGTGAACATGACCGCGTTCTCGGCGCGCAGGAAGTAGGCGATGGAGTAGCGGTGCTCGGTGGGGTCGAGGGGGACGACGCGGTGGATGCAGGATTGCATGGTGTGCCCGCTGGCGAAGCGCAGCGAGTCGCCGACGTTGATGACGGCCATGCCGGCCTTGGGCTCGACGAATCCGAACTCCTTGGCTCCGGGGGGACGCACCTGGAGACCCCACTGCTCGGCGAATAGGAAGGTTAGCGAGCTGATGTCGGTGTGCTTCTGGTGGCCGATGTTCTTGGCCGTGGGGTCGGAGGGGATGTAGTGCATCATGGCGATTGTGCTGGTCGAGGGCCGGTCGTTGCGGTGCGTGTTCTCGAAGCGGGAAGCACCTGTGAGGCTGAGGCCGGTGGAAAGAGCTGAGAGGATCGTCTTGGTGGCGATGTTGGCGCCGGCGATGGCGTGCTCGAGGACCTTCATGTCCGGGCTGTTCTTGATGACGGCTGGTAGGTGCGGGCTGTCCTTCTGGATCTCGTCGCGGGAGACCTTGATCATCTCGTAACCGTCCTTGGTGTTCTCGAGGACACCGGTACGCGAGCCAACGGGTTCGTATCTGTTTTACTCACTTGTTAGTAAGACATGCTTCTTTTTTATCTTTTCCTTTTTGCTAGATTGGGTAGCTAGCTAGGTGTCACTCACCCGAGATGCGGCGCAACAAGACCGAACTCGTTCTTAGCCTCAAGAGGAGCATCGAAGAAGCGGTACATGAGCTTCAGGGTGTCTTGTTGGTCCTCGAGCATCCTGCGGCCGTCAATGCCTCGCAGGTCCAGGTAGAAGTATCCCGTTTCCTGGCAGCAGCTAACTAGCCTCTCAATCTCGGATGGCTCTTGGGAGAGCAGCTTCGAGAAGTCGATGATCTCCATGGGGTAGACCGGGACCTTCTTCCCGTTCCACTCCACGGTCTGGGGAACATCGGTTGAGATGGCCATTGTGATTCGTCTGTTAGCTGTGGGATAGGTGAGATGTAAGTTAGGGTCGTCGAGGTCGATAGAGATAAGGACAGCGTTCGAGGTTCATATTCATATTGTCACTCGCCAGCTTCTGGTCCCTTCTACTTTATAGACAGGCGACGACGATGAAGGCGTTGTCGGAGCTTTATCCTCCATATTCTTGGGGAGTCTAATATAACTTCCCCCTCCGTGGCCCACACTGCCTTTTGTCATTTATCCATCTGCATCACAGATGTCACTTATTCAATCCTGTTTTGATTCTCGCATGGGATTTACACGACAGCTCTAGGAATACCAATGGGTGACACCACTTCTTGGCATCATATCGCTATCGAAAAGAGTATACGCTCTTAATCTCCAGTTTAGCCGGTTTGGAAGTCTCGTACCTAGATCGTTGGCCCGGGTGCAACCCTCCGCACTCTATACATATCTAGCCAGCTTCGAGGACCCTGCGAGAACGCGAATCGCGCCCAGTCGGCTTCCCGAGAAAGTGTCGTATATATTATACACGACGCCAAGCCCGGCAGATGTATCTGGTAGTTCTTTCGGGTTTACGCGAGATTGAGCAACGTGAAGCGACGATCTTATTGTTCGCATATCCCCCTGGCATTGACTCCGCACTCTTGGCTTCCCAGGGCCGCCGAGCAAATCCCATACGATGGTGCCGGAACCGATAATGTTCTCGCTAGGGATGAGCTCGATATCCTACGAATTCGGCTTGGACATGCAGCATTTCCCCTCATTTTTCGCTATGGTGGTATATTGGATGGCGAGCTAATACAGAGTCTAGAGGCCTCGTGACGATCTGCCATGCCAGTAGTGAGGCGATAAGAGAAGGTGAACCGAGTTTAAGGTAACCTAAGTCATCGCTTACCGATTCGGCGATAGGGGCTGCGAACGAATGCGGAATGAACCTGATAAATTGATGGTCCGTTCCAGGTTTACCAGTCTTCTTCGTTGTTGTCCTGTAGACAGGGCTCCGTACGTAATAGAAACTAGGCGGAAGCATGGCAATATTCAGAACCCTTTTGGCAATACCCTGACTACCTTCTACAGAAGCTTATAATTAAATATCGTTCGATTCTTTACTTTCCATTTATGAGGTTTTGTGCAGCCTTGTTAGGGCTATCTAAGACTAGAATCCTGCCGGAAGTAGGATGTAGAGAGGTAGATAAATATGATTAGATATAATTACGGGATCATATTAATCGTTACTCGGCTATGGCCTCATGCTGTACTACTCACTCAAATAGATAATCTATTCATAGTAGAATCTCCTATAACCTATAATTGATGAGCAATTGAAAAATTTATATTATACTTGAAGCAGATGTCAGACTATCAGGAATCATTAAGCATAAATAGACTGGCCGCCAGAACATCCACTGGTTATTACTTAAGCATTCCATGAGTTTATCTTATACTGTCTAGGTACCTGTCATTCTTATTAAGGCCATTAAGGTCAAGCTATAGTACGTTAAAATCTCGAGTGTGAGTGATGTATAAGAGACTTTATATTGGCATAGATAACAACGAAGGGAGATTAAATTCGTGTACTATAAGTTTAATATACGTATATTCTACGACAGGCGCATCATAGAACATGTCGAGGTATTATAATGGATTGGATATAGGCTTACTACCTAGTACTAAGCACTAAGATATAAAGGGGGAAAGGTTCAAGTGGGTTTGCTAATATTCCTAACTAAGACTAAACTGAAACATAGCATTTATTTTATGTATAATAAGATAATCCCGAAAGAACTAATTTGTAAAGTTTCTTATGGCTTCGTTCACTTTTTGGAAGGGTAATATAGCCGTCTATTTGACCGTGCGTCTATGTAATGGTGCCTTGGATTATATCGGAGTCTACGGTTCTGATTTTCTAGATATGAATGTCCAATGAGCAAGGCCTTTATATTATAATTATAAGAGGTATATTAGGTCTACACTCTCGGTATTTATAAGAAAGATATTTAGCCCAGTAATATTTATATAATGTATTCACCATCATTTTGGAAGTTGTTAATAAGCGAGTTTAGAAGTAAGCTTTCACAATAGAGTCAGTCATATAAAAAGCGCCATATGCTATTTGCCCCCTAGGGAAACAGAAGAGTGGAATATTCTAACCATCCTAACCACAGTGAATATTAAAGTCTGTGAAGACTAGCCGTGATGCATCATTCTTAATGTAACATATGATAGAGCAGAACCGCATGTTTATCATCAACTCCTTGGACCACGAGGTCAACTCTCTGCCTTAAAAACGCCCGTTCCTTAAAATGAAGCCCTCGTATACCCCTTATTCCGTATTCGCCTTCCCAATATTACCGTCCCAGCTAGGTTCCCAACTTAATCCGACGAACTGGGAGAACCGCCCGCATTTGCGCACTGCGGACATCTTTCGCCGGTCCTCTCGACCGTCTCATGGTCCTCTAGCACGTCATACTGAGAGCATTCATCGCTGCCGTCCTTATCGCCTGCGGAGGAGTACTTGAATTTCCAGAATTCGCATGCTCTGTAGTGGTTGAAAACCAGATGTCTCTTATTTTTGCGAGGGTTGCAATCATACAGGTACCAAACTTCCGTGCACATCTTGAACCAGTTGTCGTGGTGACGTTTTTAGGCAACCCTTCGAGGGCGCAATTTGAGAGGTGTAAATGAATGAGGTTGTGTAAAGGTAGTCTGCGGTGAAGATGCGGCTCAATTCCGAGTTGGGTTTAACTTTGACTTGATCGCCGCCTTTGCCCTCGTGGTTGCATAAAACTTAAAATGTGTATAAGGTTTAATCATTTGAGAATGATGCGTTTGTAGAATCAAATAAAGGCGAACGTCTTCATATGAGACAATCTTCATCTTTGACTCACCTCCTCAGGTAGAGCTCAAAAAATAGCCCTTCACATTGCCTAAGAGACGATGTGTTATTAATGTCCTCCATTCGAACTTTACTAACCAACCTTCTGAGATAAATTTCGTCGTCTCTCACGGAGAGGGACTACCGGAGAGGAAATATCTAAAAGTTCTTGGGAAGCATGTGAACAGGGTAGTATTGTCTACAGGCATAGCGATCCTACCGCCGCGCGTTTCACAGTAATAATTGCGACATTTATCGCAAACTTGCCGAAACCAATCTAGAAGTCACACTGCATAGATATTCTTATAATAAGCCTATAGAGCTTGGGTTGCAAGCAGTGGATATTATATAACAGGGTATTTCTTTATATAATTCTATGCCGCCCACAGCGATGAGAATGAATTATATACCTACCTACCTAGGTATGCTTATTTCGTTACGACAGAAAGATTAATTATACGGAGAAGTCCGGATTTTATCACGAACCATGGTTTTTCATCATGACAAAGAGTAACGACTTCGTTTTCTACCATATCAAAGGGAGCTATTGAGACACAGGCGAAAGTGGGCCGTTGAAAACACAAATAGCTTTCGTTTGGGTCGCTACCCTTACACTAGGCGCTGCTTCGCTCCTAGCCAGATAATAACTATTGCAAGAACCGAGAAGACTTGAATAAAAAGGACCCGAAAAACTATAACTATGGTATTGGGATTTCGGTACGGATTCACCACCCAAGCTCGATGTTAAGGTTGGCATGATCTTTCAGAGAACTAAATATGTCAGTTGTTCCTTTGCTAACACCACATAGGCTATTCCGTTATTCATTTCAAAATAGCCCTTGCAGTACTATTTTTGAAATATCAACTTCCGCATCCGATTATGAGAAGGAGCAGTATATTGTCGAATATACTTGGAGGCTTTGAAACATTTTAGAACCGGTATTCATGAGCTATGCGTACCGGGGATGGATTAATACGAATGTTCACCTTGATGGTCTATTTGCCGTCATTTCTCCGAAGTTATGAAATTCATTCGACTTATCGTATTGGCAGCGTAACATCTAGGAGATAGGCTGACGATGGTATACCTAACCGCAGCTAAGCTATCAATAACGATTGCACCACAGATCTACGCTCCAAAGCCAAATATGTCAAATATGGCGTGGATTTATGGTCACATGGAACCTCTGTCGCTCTGATACCGGGCGGGTACTCCCTTTTTTGAAGTCAGATGATTTGGGCATTCTTGGAAAAATGGATCGACTGAAAGACCTATTTGGGATAATAAACCCAAGTCCAACCCACCACGTCCCGATGAGGATGAAGGAGGAGGAGCAAATATTGGATAGGCCGTAACGCTATGATAGGGCATGTAAATTGCGTATCAAAACGAGGATTGCTAAGTAGATCTCGGACTAGACGGCATTGAGTGAATTAGTAGGAGAAGACTAGATGTGGTAGAGGTGGCTATTTGTTAGAGAGTCAATCCACTCGAGAGCTTAGAACTAGCACTATCCTGATAGCTATTTATTAATGTAGTCGATATAGATGTTGTTGGTTGAGCTAGACTGGCCAAAAGGGGAAAGCCGCGCCAACGGAAGCGCTTGCTGACTCGATCCCGCGCTTATTGGAGATGGGGAAATTGAATGGTCTTATTAGCTGGAAGTGTAGAGCAATGTCTCCCTACTTAGGTCAGAGTACACTGGCATCAACAAATAGGACGTCGTGTTGCGGTTTGAGAAGTTGATCAGCTCAGCAATGGCCTAATGTCCGGGGCGCAAACTTCAATTGGTGGCCTTTTTATCTTTAAAGTGTAGAAGAGCGCACGCTACAATACGCTGTAGTGGTAAAGTATCTTACCTTTACGGAACTTGCTCATCTTCGTAGGCATCGTGATGTTGGTTGTACGGGAGCTTGTTGACGCCAACAACAACAAAACCCGCCTACTAGGCAGACAGAAGCGCGCTAATCTTGCATTCGTCAAGGTGCTGACGACGCCACTGAAGCTGCGGGGTGATTCTTAGACCAAGAGAAACGAGTCGGGCATATGTAGTAAATCCATTCTCATTTATCAAAACTTGGAGAAAATAAGTGGCAAATACCTATCTAAAAACGATCGGATATC